ATCATTTTATATGGATATTTTAACTTATTGTTTTATCTAGTGTTGTAAGCCGCCCCGAGGCTTCGGCGAATGGGGCGGCATAAAAATGTTTTAATAAATAAATAAATAAATTTAGCATCTGTGCCTGTTCCTTCATATCAGTCACTGGATCTCCTTCCTCCTCATTTAGTGGTCCCACCACTTGTCTCCCCTTCCTCTTCCTATTTACATGCTGAAAGAAGCCCTTTTTATTGCTCTTGATATTCTTGGCAAGTCTCAGCGCGTAATCAGCCTTAGCCTTGCGAAGAATCCTTCTGCAACGGGCCTCCTCCTCCTGGTATACCATTTTGTCTATTTCCCCCAGTACCCATTACCTACAGAGGTTTCTCTTTCGTCTAATCCCTCTAACCACCTCCTTTTGCATTCATGGTGGCACTCTCCTCCGCCTCCCCACCTTACTGACTAGGGGTATTGTCAAGGCTTGCACCTCCAAAACCTCCCTTTTTAGTGCTATTCACCCCTCCTCAACTCGCGTACCTTCCAGTTACCTATCCCAGGAGACTTTCCCCAGTCTGGCCTTCAGTTGGCCAAAGTTGGCCCTCTTGAAGTCCCAGCTTCTAGTGCTTGACCTGCTGCACGTCCCCAGTCCCCTGATCTCAAAGCAAAGGATGGAGTGATCACTCGCATCCAGAGCTCCCCTAATTTGTACTTCACCTATCAGCTCCTCCCTATTGGTCAACATCAAGTCAAGGATGTTTCCCCCCCTCGTCGCCTCTCGGACCCTATGTGTGAAAAACCCTCCCTCTATAGCTTCTAGGAAGCGACGTGACCTGGCTGTCACTGCCGAGTGAGTCTCCCAAGTAATATCCGGGAGACTGAAATCTCCCATAAATACTGTGTCTTTCCCCCGAGATATCCTTAGAATCTCGCCTGTCAGGACATCATCCAGGGTCTCAAGTTGACCTGGAGGGCAATAACATACCCCCACTGTCAGGTCTCTTCCCTGTCAAAACCCCTAAGTTTCACCCAGACTGCCTCTACCGAATCCCCATCTGTGCTGCATTCTATCTCACTGCATCCTATCCCTTCCCTGAGGTATAAAGCCACGCCCCCACCTCTCTTTCCCTTCCTGTCCTTTCTAAAAAGGTGATACCCTTCTATGTTCACATTCCAGACTTGCCTTTCATCCCACCAAGTTTTTGTGATTCCCACCAGATCATACCCTCCTATTCATAACAGAACTTCAATGTCATGGGGAAACCTTTGTCTTTGCCTTTTTTAGGCCTTTGGAGGAAAGATGGCATAAATATTTAAGAATATAACTAACAAACAAATAGAAAAAGGGGGAGTGGGTAGTACTGTTTGTTTTCAGAAAAGCTACACAGGCTTTTGCTTTCTCATAATTTGTTGTCTTGAAAAAATAGCATGAATTTGCCTTTGAAGTAGCAACACAATTGTTAAAGTTGTAATTTTGATAACCCACAAATATTTTGACTTGGTGTTGTTCACTAATCTTTAGAATGGTTTCCAGGATCAAAGATTTGTTTACTACCTTATGCTAATCAACTAAGAACTGTTGCTCTACAGAGACTTTGGAAGCAAAAATAAATGGATAGGCTCTAGAGCAGTGAACTAAAAGGAAGACATACTTAATGTGGCTATTTTAAAGACTGTTCATCAAATGTGGTGAGGCAACTAGCTTCTTGCAAAATGTATATATGTCTACCTATCCCACCCCCTTTCTATAAAATATACAAAAGGAAGAAAGCTATCAAATGGCTTTGGTTATGCCCAGAGGCTATTGTAAATGCATTTGAACATTTCAAGGTGCTCCCAGCATAGTCCTTGTCTAAGCAAGGAGAGTTCTTAGACACCCTTTCCTGCCAGCAGTTTGTAATAGAAACAGGAAAGTGAAAAATGTTGATTAGGAACATAAGCAGCCATTAAAGACAGACCCTTCATACATTGTAAAAATTCAGCCACTCTGCTTCCTTCAACAAATAAGGAAGTGCAAAAAGCACATAGTAATTGCACATTAGAAGTGATACACGATTTTATAATGGCAAGCATCAGGAAATACCAGTAGAGCACTGAAGCTGAAAGAAAAATGGGGAAAAACTAGAGCTTGTGTGCCCTGTTGCTGATGTTTGGATTATTGTTGCCATCTGGGTTTAGTGCACGGAAGACTGGTTTTGATACTAATTCCGGTAGCTTGAGACCAAAAATAACTTGGTATTATCGGGGGCAGAGAGGATGATGGATTATGAGGCTTTAAGGAAAAGCTTGGATTTTTTTTTGTTCTTGGTTTTTTTTTTTTGGTTTGGTTTGGCTCGGCTTGCCCCTCCTAAAATGTAGGACAAATAGTAAACGACTTGATTTCCTGAGATTAAGAGGCTGGTGAAAGAAGGAACTGCTGCATCTTTGCTTATCTGTGTATGTAGCTTGCGGAAAAAAATGCATTTTGCAAAACTGCGCTACTGAACATCTCTCGAATAATCTCCTTTAAACACGATTAATACCCATGCAAATAAAACGTCCCCCCCCCCCCCGGCCTTGCTTTGGCCGTTTAAAACTCTCGTGCAATGCGCTTTCCCCGAGGGTCATTATTATAAAATGCTCGTCTGAAAAGACCTCCATCATTCTTAAGCTCAGGTTTTCCGCGAATTTTGTCGCATATTTTGCCCACGCCCATCAGTTGTCGCGCGCAGTGGGATGACCGCGGTTGCAATTTAAATTTTTCCCCTTCTTTAAAAAGACACGATTTCCGCATTGTAATTTTAAAAACGGGGTGGGGTTGAGGAGGAGGAAGATGCAAAGCAAAATGGTTTAATAGGCCTTTCTACAGGACACTTCCCCTCCCCCTCGTTCTCCTTCTTCTTTTTCTTTGTATATACAGCTGCATTTACAGAGTGTAGGGCTGAAAGGAAATTGTAGAGGAAGAGATGCCGGCGCGGCAGGGCGGGAGACGGCCGCTAAGCCTGGTTTCTACGTGCCAGATGTTAGGCCTGCCCCTGCGTCTGTTTGGCTGCCTCCGTGTGGTCATGCTCAGGCCCTGTGTGAATTGAGGAGATCTGATGAGTTAGCTGGTTGCTATGGCGAGGAGCCGTGTCACGTGGCCCTGGAGCTGCTCCCGGCGCTTTGACGTCACCGGCAAGCGAGGAAAGGGGAGGGGTGGCGGCGGCGCGGAGGAGAGCCGAGCCGAGCCGAGCGCGACAGAATCTGTAGCGAGCGAGCCGAGGGAGCGACGAGCCCGCCCAGCTCCTCCACACTCTCTGCACCCTCACCCGCGTTAGGGCTGCTTGCCTTTGGGAGCGCTCCAATGCCTGGACCTACCCAAGCGCTGTCCCCAAATGGAGAGAACAACAACGACATCATCCAGGATAACGGCACCACCATCATCCCTTTCAGGAAACACACGGTGCGAGGAGAGCGCTCGTACAGGTAACCTCCCTCGCTTCTCTCTCTGCCTCTGTGCTTGGGCGTGCGCCTACGTGTGCGCGGACGGGCGCGCATACATACACACACAGGCTTGGGGAACTGCAGCAGAGCGGGGTGGGGAGGGGGAGGGGGAGGGGGAGGAGGGGTATTGCATAACAAAAACAGCGGCGTTTTAAACCTAATCTGGCGTGTCTCCTGTCCTAAGCGTGCAGCGCGGTCTAGCTGCTTGAACGAGCGCTTTGCATTGTCCGGATGGAAAACATTTAGTGAATACTCCTCCTGCGGCTGCCCCACATCTCTCATCCTTTTGCTTTTGTTTTTTGACTATAGATAATACTACAAGCCTTCTGGTGGGGGTGGGATGCTTTTGTATGTAAATATATAAATAATAATTAAAATAATGGCGATGATCAGGCAATAATACTATGCTGGTTTGCCTTTCTTTTTCATTTTTTGGAGGGGGAAGGAGGCATTTGGGAGACAGCAGAAGGGGATGGCTGTGGGAGAGAAGAAAGGGCACAGTCTTGTGATGGTGGTGGTGGTATGCTGATTTGGAGTGTGGAAGGGAAAATGGAACCCTCTAGATTAAACTGCAGCCTGTGATGTTAAACCACCAGATTGATGGAGCTTTGTAAGAGGTGGACACCCTGATTGGTGGAAAGCTTGACAGCAGAGGTCAGGGTGTCAGAAATACAGTTTAAAAAATCCTCCAAATCTTGGGTTTGGACATAAGGTGGGCTGTGCGGCGCCTTCGAAAAAGATAAAACACGTTGCTTACGTGGACCATGACCTTCCTGTCTTTTTGCTTTCTAATGTGATACATTTTCATTGTATTCCTTATTTGGAGGATGGTGGCTGTTTTCTTTGTCACAATTTTAAGTGTTTTTGGCAACAGCTTACTATATACCTTTAGCAGCAGGAATCCTTTTTCGTTTCTGAATGAGCATTTCTGACAATATGTTCCCCTAGATAAGCTCATTAACATTGCTTGCATCAGTCGGTAAGGCTAACAATATAATTAAGAACAGAACTAGTTTTGATGGGGCTTTCTCAGATGTGCATGCTAAAAGAAAATTAGATAGCTGAGGAAATAGAGCTTCTTTAAATTAATATCCATTCTCCCCTTTCCCCTCCCCCACACCAGAATCATACTCTCCCCCTTTTTTTAGCGAGAGAGAGCGCGGCGCTCATGCCGTGGAGCAAGCTGCAGGAAATGAAACTGTCCCTAAAACCATTATAAAAATATTTGGCTGCATTGTACTGTATAGTGAAATGTAGAACTGCAATAAAAAGAAATGAGTATATTTGCTCAGCTGATTACTGGGTGGCCTGTGAATATTCTTTATTGCTCAGTTAGCCAGCTCAGCCTAAAGTGACCTGACTATGAATCCATCTCTTCTTGAGTAGGTAGGGTCACATCAATGTTTTAAAGACTAAATTAGTGATTTTTTTGTGGGATCCAAGTGGTTTCTTTTTCCAAAAACCAACAGATGTGCAAACTGCTTAAATATACAACATGCTTAGATTCATACAGATTTGTCTCCTTTCCTTGATCATGCTTTAAAAGTAGCATATTTTTTCAGGAATAACTGAAATATAGAACGAGGATTTTATACCAAGGACCTCTTAGTACTTTTAAATTTACTAATTAAAACCTTCCTGATAAGCTGAATGCCTTCATTTCCCCTGTGTCTGTTCTCTTCTTCATTTCTATACAGAGAAAATCTTGGAGACATCTTGTTTACTAAAATGTGCAAACTGATAACTGTTTAATGTTGATGTCTCTCTCTCTCATTAGTATATCTTGAGAGCAGCCTTTTTTGTTTGTTTATAAGCTGATACTAAATTGTACTGATCAATCTGTTACAAAATTAAATTGTTTTCCACTGAGAAGCAACACTTCAAGTACCTAATGAACATCTCATATAGATTAGAAGAAAAGACTGTTGTACCCAGTTACAAAGGGATTTTTTATCACTGCGGTTTCATTAATAAAAATCAAATGCAAAATGCTACAAAAACTGTTCTGAAGACCGGGATGAGGAACCTCTTTCAACTTGGGGGACACATTCTATTTAATGAAGCTCTCAGGGACTGCATTCCAGTGATGGGCAGAGCTGAAGGCAAAGAGGACAGGCTGTGGCCCAAAGAGGTAAAGCGAAAAATGCAAACCATACTAGCATATTGTAGCTCAAAGCTCTTATTGTCAGTAATTAAGAAAGGCATTTCAGTTTTCCAGAATGAGGAAAAAGCTACTCAAAGGTTGGGAGACCACCAAAGAATTGGTGGGTTGGAGGGGGAGTGGAGTGATCATCTGGGGATGCCCACAGTGTCAGATCTGGCCATTGGGTTTAAGGGTCTCCACTCCTGTTGTAGGACTGCTTTGCTGGACAGTGTGGAATGGAAACTAATATATAAATTATGAGTCACTACAGATGTTCACTTTTAGAAGCCTGATAATACATGCTCTGACCTTCCTCATTTAACAGTGTAGGATTGTTTTATGTCAGCATAATTTGGCTTATGGAGCAGTGTGCTTATCTCCTGCCTCGCTAATACAAGCTTTAAGGGATTTTGGGGTTCGTACAGTGCTTAGAACTGCCTCCGGTACAGTAACCGGAACTGAATGATGGGTGTGGTATTCCTGACTCTGACATGTACTAACTGTATGACTTTATATAAAACAGTTCACTTCTCTCTCTATCTGGGTAGAATTTTTTTTTAATTCAAACCCAACATCCATGAATAATCCAGGCACTGGGATCAGAAAGTGGTAGATCAGTCAGTTCATATTTCACCATGGTACATTCTTAGCAGCCACCATGAAATTGTCATTACTTCAGATGGTCTAGTTCTCTTGAAGTCTGCCAAGATCAACTGAGATGGAAACCTCTATATAAAAGTGAGCAAATATAGTAGCAATTTGTGATGCAGCAGAACGCCAACTAGTATTATGCCATATTATTTCCTCTATACTGACTTCCAAAAGAAAATTGATGCTTGAGTCTGTTTTATGCAACTGTGCTCTAGTTTTATTTTCAAAACAATCTTGTGCATGTATGACAAGTTTGCAAAGAATTGCAGGCTACATCACCTTCAATGATTCTGATTATATTGAGGAAAACAGAATTGTCTAAAATGGTTTAAAGGAAGTAAATAATTACGAAACAAGCAATTATTTAAGTTAGCTTCCAGTCTTCTGATTCCTACATTTTCTGAACAAGTATATATGTTAATTGGTTGCAAAAGTAATTAAAATATCAGTTTTCAACTACAATACAATTAGTTTGCAACTACCCAAAACACAATGTTAGTTATGCAGCTCATGGACCTCTTTGGATTACAGAATATATATTTGCTCAGACAGCAAAACACAAACCCTCCATATCACAGTTGTTTTAAGTACATAGGCATGTACACTAATGCTACAAGCCTATACACCATTTTCCCCCAGTTTAGTACTTTTCAGATGAGTTGGACTATGCATCTCTAAGAGTAAGTCCCATTGAATTTAGGCATACTTCTAAATAAATATTGTAGAGTAAGTCTCAGTTCAGTTCAATGATGGGTTGTGAGAACAGACACTAGCTGTGTGTGGGGTAGCTTCCATTTCATCCTTAGCTTTAACCATAGTTTGCTTTGATATATCTGAATTGGGAAAACATTATTAGGGTTTGTCCCTCAAATGAGAATCAGAAACCTCCATGTCCCCTGGTTTAGAGTATAAGTGCTACTCATGTTTTGCCAATTCAGACATCACAGCAATTTGTATTTATCAGTAAACAGGAAACTAAGAAAGGACTTTTTTCTCAAGTTATGGAAGCTTCTGTGGCTTTTCTCTGTCCTCCCTCTTCCAAACTACAACTTGAACCAAAATAGTGTGAATTTAATCTAGGTAGGGGTACAATTCTATGCATGTTTAGACAGAAGGTATCCTGCAACTCCCAGTTGAATGCAGAATGCTGGGAGCTGTAGATCTGTCCTCAATTTATTTATTTATTTATTTATTTATTTAGGGAACTCCTATGCCGCCCCATTCGCTGAAGCCTCGGGGCAGCTCACAAACATAAATAACTTCATATAAAACAATATAAATTAACAGTATAAATTAAGTCGCCCTGGCCAAAGAATAAAATAAATAAATAATATTAACACTTAAAATAACGTTTACATAAAAAGGGCTTTGCCTGGCACCGAAAAACAAATAATGACGGCACCAGGTGGACCTCTCTGGGGAGCGCATTCCATAGATTGGGCGCCACCTCAGAGAAAGCCCTCCTCCAAGTACTTACCCTCCTAATTTCCTTCACGGAGGGTTCCCAGAGAAGGGCCTCTCCCGCTAATCTCAAGGGGCGGGCGGGCATATATGGACGTAAGCGCTCCTTCAGGTAACCAGGACCCAAGCTGTTAAGGGCTTTATAGGTCATCACCAACACCTTGAATTGGGCCCGGACTTCAGTGGGAAGCCAGTGAAGCTGATGGAGAACTGGAGTCATGTGAACATAACGCTAGTCCCCGTCAGCAGCCTGGCAGCTCTATTTTGAACCAATTGAAGTATCCGGACCGTCTTCAAGGGTAGCCCCACGTAGAGCGCGTTACAGAAGTCAAGGTGGGAAGTCACCAGTGCTTGTGTCACTGTCGCCAGGCAGTCGTTCTCCAGGTAGGGGCGCAGCTGATGGATCAGCCGAAGCTGAAAGTGCTCCTTGCCACCGCTGTCACCTGAGCTTCCAGTGAAAGGTCTGGGTCGAGGAGCACTCCCAAGCTGAGGACCTTGTCCCTAAGAGGGAGTGCAACCCCATTCAGGACTAGGTTCAATTCACGTTCCCCGAAGCCCGATCCTCCAACCAACAGGACCTCCGTCTTGTCTGGATTGAGCTTAAGTTTATTGGCCCTCATCCAGCCCATTACCTCGGCCAGACACTGGTTCAGCACAGCCACTGCCTCACCTGGATTGGTGGAGAACTAGAGGTAGAGCTGGGTATCATCAGCGTACTGATGATTCC